GTTAAACAGTTCGCTTACACGTTTCAGACATCTTCTGTTTATCTGTTATATTTCACAATTAAGGCATCACATACTGGTAGGGTTGTGTGAGAACTGAATAGGGTGACGCACGACAGAGCTGGAAAACTTCACCCTCCCCCTCAGAGAAGACACAGAGGGAAGCCTGGATGGGAGGGATAAGAACGGTGAGGAGAAAATTGCATTTTGCCGGCTTTATATGAGAGGTCCAGCCGTGAGGCTCCAGCCAGGTCCCGGGATGTCTCACCTACACCCTCTTGGCTGCATCATGCTTCCTGCAGTGTGGTTGAGGCCTCAGAAGTCAGCGCAGGCGACAGTAGGATGGCCCAGGCCCAGCTCAGTGACAAGAAGGGAAGCCATCCTGCTGACTGTGTGTTCTCAGGCACCGTGGAAGCAGCCAAGAGCAAGAGCAGTCGCCCAGCCAAAAGGCGCTGGGATCGGCCAGGAGGCCAGGAAAACCTGGCAGCATCTTCCAGCCAGGAAATGCCAACAGATGTATCTACCTCTGGATGCCACGTCTAAGGGTCTTGGAATCAAAACTGCTGTGCCTGGTGTTGGGGACTGAACTCAGGACCTTGTGCATGCTAAGTACACACCGCCATTTGAGCTATACCCTCCCCGTTTTTTTTTTATCAGAGTAAAATTTACATAACATACAATGAGTCATTTAGAAGTATATATTCCAGTGGCATTTAGTACATTAACAAAGTTGTATAATCATAACCTCTACCTAGTTCTAAAACATTTTCATCATCCCCCCAAAAAACCATACATACCCATCAAGCAGTTACTCCCCGTGCTCCCCTCCCCCATCTTTTGGCAACCACTAACCTACTTTCTGTCTCCATGGATTTACCTGTCTTGGATATTTCATACAAATGAAATGATACATTGTATGACATTTTGTTTCTGCTTTCTTTGGCTTATGTTTCTGAGGTTCATCCATGTTGTAGCATATGTCAGTACTTCCTCTCTTCTTACTGCTGAATAAAAATATTCCATTATATGGATATACCATATTTTGTTTATCCATTCATCCGTTGATGGACATTTGGGTTGTTTCCACCTTTCGGCTATTGTGAATATTGCTGCCATGAACCTTCATGTCCAAGTATTTGTTTGAGTACCTGTCTGCAATTCTCCTGTGTGTATACCTAGGCGTGAAATCTCTGGGTCATATGCTAATTCTATGTTTAGCTTTATAAGAAACCACCAAACTGTTTACCACAGTGCTCCATCATTTTACATGCCCACCAGAAATGTACAAGGGCTCCAAGGTCATCACATCCTTGCCAACACTTGTTGTGTAATTTTTGTTTGTTTGACTATAGCCATCTTAGTGGGTTTAAAGTGAAATCTCATTGTGGTTTTGATTCCATTTCCCTAATGCTAATGATGTTGAGCATCTTTTCATGTACTTATTGGCCACTTGTATAATCTTTTTTAGAGAAATGTCTATTCAAGCCCTTTGCCCATTTTTAAATTGGGTTATTTGTCTTTCTGTCATTAAGCTGCAAGAATTCTTTATATATTCTGGATACTAGAACCTTACTGCATATATGACTTGCAAGGTGTCTTTTCACTTTCTTGTTGGTGTCCTTTGATGCACCAAATTTTTTAATTTTAATGATGCCCAATATATCAATTTTTTTTCTTTTGTTACTTGTACTTTTGTTGTCACATTTAAGAAACCATTGCCAAATCCAGGCCATGAAGTTATGTTTTCTGCTAAGAATGTGATAGTTTTAGCTCTTATATTTAGGCCTTTTATCCATATTGAGTTAATTTTTGTGTACAGCGTAAGGTAGGAATCCAACTTCTCTTCCTCTTCCTCTTCCTTCTTCTGCTTGCAGTGGATTCCAGTTGTCCCTGTACTAATTGTTGAAGATATTAATCTTTCACCATTGAATAGTTTTGGCACCCTCACTGAAAATCAACTGACCACAGATGTATGAGTTTATTTCTGAACTCCCAATTCCACTCCACTGATCTGTATGTCTACACTTACATCAGTATCACACTATTTTGATTACTATAGCTTTGTGGTAAGCTTTGAAATGTGAATCCTCCAACTTTGTTCTTCTTTTTCAAGACTGTTTTGGCCATTCAGGGTCCCTTATAATTCCATAAGAATTTTAGGATCAGCTTTTCTATTTCTTTACCGAGTCAAAAACTCAGAAGGTGGGGTCCAGGAATCTGCTATCTAAAAATGTTTTTAATTGTGGTAAAGTATATATAACATAAACTTTACCGTTTTAACCATCTTAAATGTACAGTTCAATAGTGTTAGTATATTCACATTGTTGAGCAATCAATCTCCAGAATTTTTTCATCTTGCAAAACAAACTATACCCATTAAAACACAACTCCCAGGTTTCCTCTCCTCCCAGCCCCTAGAAACCCCATTCTATTTTCTGTCTGTATAAATCTGCCTACCCTAAATACCTCATATAAGTGGAATCACGCAGTATGCATTGTTTTGTCACTGGCTTATTTCACTTAGCATAATGTCCTTGAGTTTCATCCATGTTGTAGCATGCGTCAAAATTTCCTTCCTGTTTAAGGCTGAATAATATTCCATTGTATGTATAATACCACATTTTGTTTAGTCATTCATCCATCAATGAACATTTGGGTTGCTTCCACCTTTTGTCTATTGTGAATAGTGCTGCTATGAACATGGGTGTACAAATATCTCTTTGAGACCCTGTTTTTGATTCTTTTGGGATTACACCCAGAAATGGAATTGGTGGAATATGGTAATTCTATTTTCAATTTTTTGAGGAACTGCCATACTATTTTCTAAAATGTCTACATCATTTTACATTCCTACCAACAGTGCACAAGCGTGCCAATTTCTCCACATCTTAACTAACACTTGTTATTTTCTATTTTGTTTTTCGTTTTTGGATAGTATCAGGTGATGCCTCATTGTGGTTTTAAGTTGCATAGGAATCTGCTTTTTGAATAAACTTTATATTTTGGAATAATCTTAGATTTATAGAAAAGTTGCAAAGATAGTACAGAGTTCCTCTTTCTCTCTCATTCAGTTTCAGTTTCCCATAATGTTTCATCTTACATTACCATGGTACTTTGTCAAAACTGGGAATCTGCTTTGCAATAAGAACACACTGACATACACTGTGACTCTTACATGCAGTAAAGTTTAAGAGCCATAGATCTAGGGGTCAGAAATGTCCTTTCAGGGAAATACATCTCAGCTGTTACTTGACAGATGAATATAAGTGAGTAAAGGGAATGGGGTGTGATCCAGGCAGAGGGAACAAATTATGCTAAAGCCTGCGGGTAATAAAGAACTTGGAGCGTTTGAGGATAATCATAATAGCAATAATAGTAATTTATTGACTGTTACCATATGCCAAGCCCTGGTAAGCACTTTAGAACATTATTTTGCTTAATTTTTCACAACAATCCTATAAAGAGGGAAATGTTATCATCTCCATTTTATAGATAAGACAACTGAGACTTGAAGGAAAGAAGCAGCTTGCCCAAGGCCACCCAGCTGTAAAGTGGCAAAAGCAGAATCTGAACTCAGATCTTTCTTTTCCAATTCCTTCTCTCCCACTAGGCCCCAGTAAAGCTTAATCATCTGCTTGCAGCAAGAAGCAAGGCATTGAACATGTGCCTTTCCCTCCCCCTGGTTTACTCTTCCCACTCTCTTCCCCAGGCTACTCATCCTTCAGGGCTCAGAGAGGCCTTTCCATTCCACAGCTGTTCCTCACTGTTATTCTGTCATTGAACTAATGGTTGAATGAATGAATGAATAGAAATAAGAAGCATTAGCAACAACTTGTGCTTAGATACTTATTCACGTGCTTATCTGTTTAATGCTTCTCTCTCCTGCTATACTATCAACCCGTGAAGGCAAG